AATTTATGGGCAAGATATGACCTTTAATTGCAAGTGAATAAGATCAACCCTCAGTAAAAGTTATAACTCGGAAAACTCTATAGGTTGGGCGAAAATATTTTGGGTGTCCAGGGATCTGTCTGTCATTCGAAAGGTCATTCAAAAAGTTGTTTGAAAAGCAGTTGGCAAAACTGACAACCCATTCTCGCTCTTATTTACAGATATCAGCAGCTGACGTGTTGCTGGCACGTAAAAAGTAGACAAATGCTAGTGTAATCAAAGGTTATGGGGAAAATTATCGGGACAGATTTCACTCTGAATGCCGTCTAAAAGTCCAGGTCTTATGCGGCAATCTGCGGTTCGTTCGTAAAAATGCGCTGCAGCAAGCTTTTAAAACTCGTTTGTGAAGAAAGCAAATGTTTAAACAAGACGATAAAAACGAGAATCGTGTTTAAAGTAATCGAAAACCCCACCAACAAATCCAGCTGCATTCCGCCAAGCGACTTAAATTACTTAGGTTGGGTCTTCTCGAAAGAGCACCTTTCACACTGAAGATGCTGTCCTCTACGTACCTTACCCTTTAGGAGTGTGAGATATGTTGAGTTACCCAAGTAAATCTACCATGCAGTTCAGCATGAGCTTCACGCGTGCAAACCGTAAATTACCGCTGTAGGACTGAGTGGATAAAAGGAAAACCCCATTCTTACAGGCGAAAATGAACGTGGCAAACAGGTTAAGTAGCTCCATGAGCCACAGTAAACATGTGAAGGAGGAAATCATCTTCAAAATTAGGAAGGACAGCGTTTGTCATATATGGAGGAAATTTAAGGTACCGACGTTCCTCCTCAATACTGCACGGGTCTGACATGGATTATCTTATCACAGAGCATGATGTTCAACACTTCGATGGTGGCTCAACTCGTATGCTCCTTCTAAGCTGGAAAATGAGTATGCCGTTACTGCAACGGATGAATTTCTACAAGGTTCTCTCTGGTCAGCTGAACAAACTGCTGGTTGGGCTGTGCTTCCTATGCTAGATGACCTTTTCCCTCGAACAGCCTTTCGCACACAATTTTGTTTCGGATTAGGTAGAACCAGGGGCGACCAATCCATGGCTTGGAGATGAAGCATGAGAGACCTAACAAGCCAAGTTAGCCGTTTTGGTTACTGTCGTACGCCGGATGGGAACCACGAGTTCAGGCAAGCCAAAATTTGGTCTCCTTGACAGATATGGCCACCAAACTACAAATTCTGGAATTGCATCATAGCTATCGCTTTCACCACATAGCTCTAATTTCGTGACACACTGAGAAAGTTGGCGCTACGGGTGTCGTCAGAAAGACGCGTCAGTGTGTCTCAACCAACGCATATATTTGATTACGGTGTACGATTGCGAGGCCTAACCACCTTCTGCAAAAATTTTGACATCTCTTCATGCCTATGAATACCGATGACTCAGACATATGCGTAAATGATTGGAAACAGCTACCATGTAACAAGACGACCAACCGCAAACGGGTCGTTAATAAGATGGACAGTGTCACACTCAGGGAGTGTACCTGGCGTTGCATTATGAGGTGGTTAGGGCATGTGTCACGCAAGCAGTGTTACCGCCCACCAAGTCGGGTTTTGTTCTTCGTGTCCATTTCGGACTAGCGGAAACCTATAGGTACATGGAAATTAATCAGCCTGTAATTGGCCGGAGAAAGTCAACAGCCCACGTCAGTAGCGCCCCTGCAGTCGATTTTCATTCAGATGTTGATGTACACACCTCAGTTTTCATGGTACAGAAACCCTAGGTCTCTCTGCCTGCCTGCTTGTTCTAGCGACAATCAATTCAACCGATGTTGGCCATTTTTCTGTCAGTAATGGCCAATCGAGGATCGGTTAAGCTGTCGATTTCATCCGATGGGCTCATTGTACGTTATATGTAAGTCGCTTCTTCGTAGGAGATTCATGGAAGACAAGACTCAGTGGATAAAGAGGGCTTAACATTTGCGCTCTAAAAGTTCTATGAATGCCACACTATGACATACATTCTTTGTAAAATTAGTCACTTTGAAACAGTGCCTAAATCACGTGTACCTTCCTCCAAATTGAAAGAATGCAATACAAAATATCTACGACACTCGTCCTTTTAGGTTGCTCTCTCAATACAGAGTCAAAGAGTGGCTCAGGCTGCAAGGCCTATCAGGGAATTTACGGATCAATACATAGGATCGAGGCTTTCGCCCATGTTTCTCGGGTCGAATTCGCTCTTGCGGTTCAACGGCTTCGGTTCACCTAAAAGGCACAAGCGTCTCTCTTTAGGTTATCAGCGGAGAGAATAAGCTTGCTTTGAACTGGATTCTAAATGCAGCGTAAACAACCTTCAGATGAAGGTTATTCCACGCACTAACTCCCACGATTGAGAAAAGTTTTAGTTAATTAAAAGTGAGCCATGGGCATGAAAATCTTCCTAGTGTATAAGTTAGGTAAAGGGTATGAAACCTGTTAATTAAAATCTTGTTCAAACTAGGTTCTATTGGAAATGACAACAAACCAGGGGAAGTAGTTCAATCACCCCGAGAATGCATTTCATAGCAAATGGATCTGAGGTCAGCAGATGTTTTCGTGGCAACCCGCTTGATGCGCTCATTAAGGGTCGGGTCCTTCTTCCTTCCTGATAAAGGCAACATAGAGTATCTGGGAGTCCATTCGAGTGATACGAAGATTGTCCGCCGAATCATTCGTAGATCGACGAGTGTCTTTTGGGTCGATTTTTCTCGGTCTGAACGTCACCTTTACTGGCAGAAATACATAAATTGGATCGTATACAACAAACGTCAACCACAACCATATTTTTAAATTGTTGACTGAACAGGGAGTATGCTGCAGATTCACATGCCTCGGTGGATACGCCAAAAAATGTCTTTATAATAAGTATTCTGTGGTTTTTCGAAAGACTACTTGAGCGCAGAAAAACATACTGCACTCCGCTCTGCATGCTGATTGTGACCAATGAGATGTACGTGCTTAGTTTGGTAGGGAAATGTCCAGAATCACGTCAGCGACCTCGGTCTCAGTAAAAGTTGACGCTCACGAATATTTATATGGATACCATGTACCTCCAGGCAGACACTACACAATGGTGTCCTTTTTCGACGAGTTGTCGAATTCGCCGCTTCTGTTCTGATTGAAAGACTCCGTTGTCAAAAGTTGTAAATTTGGTGTCTGAGAATTTAATGTGTACTTAAATTAATCTGTACTTTTAAATTATAAGAATGAACGCTACTAAATTAGTCCAGTATGCCAAATTTGCGTGAAGGCAACCAGGTTTGTTTCTCTACTTATTTCACCGCTTAACTGTGTCCACACCTTTTTCGATACCCTTGATTGTCCGACCCCAATTTTTTTGAGAAGTAGAAGAGAATTTAATGAGCGTTGTGCTAAGCGTGACATACTTGTTTTACTTGTCAAGGCTGCTTTGTTGGCCACTTGGCCGGACGGCATCCAGCGGGGACAAATGGTTACCACCCCGTAGCTAATGGCAAACAAATCCAACTACATAAGTCGACAGGTTTATATTCCTAAGCTTTCCAATCATCGGAATAGTTCCATTCTTGAGTTCTTATAGCAGCATGGCCAAGCAGGATTTGGCTATGATAAACCATAAGATGAAACAATCGTAAGGCTTCGAAGTGGAAGTTCCGACCCAGATAATTCAGTCTGCATGTAGAGGTGTGATTTTCTTACGGTTCGAACACGCAGCGAGAAAACAATACGATATGCGGACTGTGGCAATATTCTATCCTCAGCTATGTTGCTTGATCCAGACTCCTAGCACAGCGGATAGTAAGAGGACGAAAAAACCTCGGACACGAACTTTAATAATCCAACAACACGCGATAATGGGAAAATGACAATGCATATATATACTCATAGTATGACCTTGAAGATACCGGAAGTTCGCTAGCACACATAAGAATACAATTTCTTAGACTATTGATATCCCCAACAGATTTTTGGGTACATTCCAATATTATTACCGATAATTGCGTTTAAAGTAATCTTTCTGCTTGTCTGAGGCTTATCCACTGGGGATGTGGAGTTGGTTTTCAGTTCTACGTACGAGGTTGATGAAAACACTAGATACCAGTGGACATTACTTTTACTCATTTTGTAGATCATCACGTCGACCCTATCCTATTCTTTAGCATATCCAACGAGCTACTACGAAAATGCTTGCGGGCCCCGATTACGTGGAGTATAAAACGGGTCCCGCGGTGCTTGCCCTTTTCCCCTTAGAGCATCGTCGCCCACGAGGAGACATAATACCTACTCACGTCGTCTGAACAAGGTTGGCAAAGTTTTTTTACCGTTGACTCAACTGACGCACGGCTGGGACATGGCAAGCTCAGGATGCATGTCTTCACTAAGCAACAACTTTCCTATTCTGGGTAGTTGGTAGGTGGAACAACCTTCTCCCGACGGCTGTTTGCCATGCATCTGGTACCCAGTTCAAGGCACTTTTAGTTTTTCATGCGCTGAGAAAATAAACAGTGGTGCTACGCCAGTTTTTCGCTTATGCCTTTCAGGTGATCGGCAGCCGCTGAACGACAAGAACAAACCCGGCCCGGGAAGCTTGGGCTAAAGCCTCGATCCTGTGGGTCAGTGTGTGAATCCGTTAATAGTCCGATTCCCTGATGTGAAAGCACAACACACTAAGCATGGGAAATCGTCTACATTGAGCCGCCGTTAGTGACTGGGTTATTCTCCGTCCGGAAGCTTAACTCAAAACTACTTGCATGTAACAGGGTTCGCGCGGAGAACCGGGGTCAGCGGCGTCAGCTTCTGTCTATGCTCGATATGTGGGCACACTGGGGGCTTGTGTCGAAGCAACCTTAGCTCGCCCTCTTGTCTTCATTACAGGTATTCAATTGAAAAGTTAGCATGGCTGTACAACAGTGCTACATGCCCATTTAGTCATCAATCGATAGTTGCATATCTTGAAGAAAGAAAGCATTCGGAATTATGTAGGAAATAAATGCATTGCTTCGGAAGTCAAAGATCTTCCAAATCAAGATAAACAAGGCACTTGGGATAAAATTTAAGGAAAGGTCTGTCAACAGGACGAAACAAGGAAAAAACTAGTGACAAAAAACAGCACAAATAAAGCTGCATGCAGTGGAAGACAGCACATCCTCGTCGTATTGAAGGCGGCACACGGGACGCAGAATCTACGAAGGAAAATCATAGAGTTGTGGGTGAACAAATGCGGAATAGCTCTAAATGACAGATGTAATGAGTGCAGACTGCAAGACAGCTATGCACAGATAGCAGTATTACATCGTCTTTCTAGGATAAATGAAAATCTGGCGAAAGTTAATGAGGGACGTTCGGTAGTTTCCGGCGTCCGCATTTAAATTTTGTCGGACGCCCAAAACCGCCGTTATTTCCAGCCTAATCCACCCAAAAGGTCTCCGGTTAGACTGGAATCAAAACTATGACAGGTGGTTAGTAAAGATACCAGTGCAAAGGATCCAGTTTTGTTTGGCTGTCCGAGTATCACGGCCAATGCTGATTTTACCTGATATATCATCATGCTATGCAAACCGGTTGTGATGTGTGAGCACCGCTCACCGCACCAATTATGACGTCTTGTTGAGGTAGATATACTCCCTACCTGGTTATGAAGAGTGATCTCTTAGCCAGATGGTTCCGGAGAAGAGTACCATTGATGTGCTGGACACTATTCACACAGAGGTTAGAAGTAGGCTTTTACAAACACAACTTACGGTGATGGCCCAAATTATGTTTTGGATGGGAGGATTCGGCGAAGAATCACCCTGTTTTGTGCGAAAGTCATTGAAAGGAGTCCTACGTTAACACAACCTGGAGAATACAATCAGTTGAGGAGGACCTCGACAGGGGATTCATAACCCCAAATTTCCCAATGAGATGTTCTGAGTAGCACATTGTAAACGACTACTTCATATGTAACCTAAAAACGACCTATGCGTTAAACAGAGACATTGTGACAGGTAAGCAAGAAGTGGGGGACAAAGTGGACTCAAATTACTAACATTAGTTCTACTGGCCATGTGTAGTTTGTTGCACACGCTGTACCAGACCATACTCGTTCAACTTTTTCAGGGCTTCGGTTGCACATTGACGGGTCTTCAATCGGTCTTCCTCGGCCATCTTCCGCAGTCGAGCTGGAGGTATTCCAGGATTGAGGGAAACGGTGTCTGCCGAGAGTGTTTCATCCGTCCCAAGGTCGGGCAGCTGACTGAGGGCCATGATCACTTCAAGCATGTTTGACTGACAAATGTACTCGCACAGCGAACGTTCACCATGGATGACCATGTTCCGTAGGAGGTGGGCCGCACGATGAGCAATACAATAAGCGTCGTGTCCTGCCAATGTCTGAATAGTTTCGANATGAGGAATACAATAAGCGGTGTGTCCTGCTAATGTCTGAATAGTTTCGAACCAGGCAGAAGTCTACACAGGATACATGACGATAAAGGAAGAAAAAACCATGAAGGGCAGGACAAAACACGAAACCGGCAAGCTTTTCATGCCAACATTAAGCAACGGCCCTCATCAGTCAAATGAAGACCGCCTTTCGATACGACACATTGGTACTACTTGCTTTTTCGAGTAGCTACAAACCAAAGTACCCAACGACTCATGAAATCAAACAGAACGGGTCAATCGACAAATCGGAAAGTAATTCACAGGGTGACGAATACTGACCAAGCAACACTTACATCCGTAATGCGCTTGATAATCCCAGGGTCATATGACATTGTGGCCAAAGCACCAACAGCTGCACGGACCAGGAACAAATCTTCAAACTCGCAACAGTAAAGGACTAGTAATTTCACGCGTTCAGTGGACGAGCTCAAGTACGGCAACTTTGCCCCGAGATCTTTTTCTTCCAGAGGAAGTGTGCCACCACAAACGACAACAAATGCATGATACTGTGCTAGGTTGGCCACACATTCTGTGGCTGCACGACGCAACATGGGATGCTCCTGGAAAAGACAGTGATCGATTTGAGGGACACCACGTTCCGCCATGATCCGATGCCTGGTTAGAAGGAATAAGATTAAAGTGAATACATGTATAAAGCAGCCTCTATTTCTGGTAGTTGGGAATAGCAATGCGGTGAATATTTACAAGTGAGATTAACGTTGGAAGATACTGTTAGTCTTAACACAGTTCAGCCAGCCGCTCGCACGCAAGTCTTCGGGAGCTTACACCGGGATAGCGGATTCCTTAGGCAGATATAATACTGCTCGAGTATGGGAGGGATAAGCATATCAGCTCGTGGCCATGTGGCCGAAAAATTTAACCAGACTCTCCGACGTATGTGGTTACCGCACTGGGCAACCGCAAATAGTAGGAAGAGCCCTGAATCGTCTGTGGCCCAATACAAAGCCATGGGCGGGCACCGATAAATATTAGGCACACCCAGGCCATGCACCTTTAGCATCCTGACAAACTCCATTCTGTTTGTAACTCCCCCCTTAATTTTGGGTCTAGAACATGCACGTGAAACCGTGTATTTGTTCGAAATTTTGCCTTGTTTGACCTTGAGGACAACGAGTCGTTTGTGATCGCTCTTCCTCACATGTGACTGACTAGGAGGTTAGGAACCGTTTTGTTAGCAATGTTTGTAGCCATATACTCACGATCGATCACTTGTTGTAGACAACTAGCTATTCTCGCATATACTTTTATGGACTGATGCATCAAACAATCAAAGCATACAGAAACCTAGATTCAGCCTACTTGGGGGCTCTGGTATTACGTATCACTCGAAGGTACCGGTTTGGTTGTAACAACTTTGTGGTTACAAAAACACAATTAATGACGGCTGTATCCGTACAACAACGATAATAACGATGGTTAAGCGAAACCGAACATAGCTTTCGGTCCCGATTTGGCGTGTGAAAATGTCACAGTTCTACTGAGTGCTCTATAAGTGGGGGAAAACCCCTGGTCGTTGTAGGTTGGTCACAACATGAACAACGCACTTGTAATTTCGATTAGCTGCCTGGACAGCTGTTAAGTCAACCCTTTTCGAAATCGTTTTGTTGAAAACCAACCAAATAAGTGGAGGAACACATTAGTTGGCTTGCTGACAGCTGCTGCCTACAGTTTGGGTCGAAATAGGAGTTTAAACGACGCTCAAAGGCAAATTGCAATTTGCAGTCGACAAAGAAGATAGGAGATAGAAAGAGGGACATCGGTAAGACCCATTTTTCATCGGCCGAATGTCAACAAAAAGCAGGCAATAGGCAACTTGGTAGAAAAGCTTAGTTCATCTTTTCCAGGAGTAGTCGCGCGCTGATGATGATAAAAGAACGCTGATTAAATTGAACGAATCGATGGCCAGCAGTTTGTTCCCATACAAGATATATATTCAGAATACTTCCAACGTAACCGAGTTTGTTTACTCTCAGGCTGTAGGCCCACTACCCCTGGTTTGTTTTAGTTCAACACACGGCTGAACACAGCGAGAATCGTGACAAAGGCGGCATTCTAGTGAGCAAATCACGGGTTTGAGTGTGGTAGCTCTTCTAATGTTAGAGTGAGTCTCTTCTAATACACTCCAGAATCACAGAACGGGTGTTCCTATCAAATAGCGGTCGAAATATAGCAAGAAATACATTTGGAAACACGTATGTTTTCTTTCAATTCAATACACTTGGTAATCAGCTTCCGCTAGCATATTCCAATGAAGATGGGCGCGCTCAAATAGTGTGGGATGCAGTGAACCCTTCTATACACGGCAGACCCGTCTCACGTCCGTCCCAACGAAGCTCCTCCAGCTAAACCACGGGGTCCACTTCCCAGAGGCATGCTTATTTAGGGGAGCAGTGCAGTGTTTCTGCATTCATTACAACATCACTTGATTTATTTATGGTTGCAAACCAATAAGCACCCGTGCTATCGTCGCCTTTTGGGTCTTCAGCACGAATAAGATGGCCGTTAAACCGTAAGCACCGGGAAGCATCGGTAGCCACTTATTTCTAAAACTAGGAAAGTCTTGATTTCACATGGGCGTGAAGTTATGAGACAGGCCAGACCACAATGTAGGGAGATATTTTGTGAAAAAACGACGAGATTGAGGTGTATACTATTGTGTCAAAATGGGGCTAATAAGTAGTGGACAACATTGATCATCCAAACGTAACAAACACCTTTTCGGTGTCTAGCTGTCACGCTGAGGAATGAGATATTGCCAGGGTGCTCAAGCCTAGACAGCAGCAGTCAGGATATCGCCGTTGGGCTAAAACGACGAACGTACAGGTCAATGAGTGTGCGCCTTAAACAGTGATCAATCTCGAGCTCATGTGGTTGATATGAGAGCTTCCTTGATCCGTTCTGCAGTGCGGAAGCCACGTTGACTGAATTAGAACGAAACTGAGCAGTTCGACCTGAGAGGAATGCTGTATTTTCATGTACGTAATAACCAACACGTGAGAGAATTCAATTCCAGCATAATCAGATGCATGTGCCACACCGATTATTGTAGAGCCAAGAAAAGATCATAACTCCCGAAATTCGTAGCGACTTCGCAACCGTCGAACCCGGATGAGATAGATCAAGGAGTCCAGAACCGGACCTCATCAGAAGTATTGAAATCAATAAACGCTTTCTTAAAACTGACCCCGAAAACACCTAAGTGCATACTCCACTGGCTGATAAATAAAAACCGTTAAAGAAAGATGAGGTACGAAAATGCCATGTCGCGTAAATGCTTGCAGACCACAAAATGAACGGGAAACCACGGTGTGTAACCTGACAGAGAATTTCCATAACATGCGCGTGGGCGTTGTCGTCAAATATCCGCGTTAAATCTATTCCCATCCAGCACCGGCCTGATACAACAGGTCCCAATCCACATTACAGAGCTACCTGCAACCACAACCTCCGGACTTCTCGGCGTTCCCATTGATTGTTTGCGGTCTATGCACTTCTCTATAATCAATAAATGATAAACAACCGGTGATTCTACTTCTTGTGTCAACATAATACCCCTTGCACTAGATTGTGCACTTGGTCTGGCCCCATTCAAATGTTAGTTGCAGACAACCTGGCATAGCTAACACACAACCAAGAAGTCGTAAATCTTGTCAGCAAACAGAAACCTAATGTTGCGAAAATTAAAATTTATTTTGATTTGGCGGGCTTTGGTCCATCACCCATACAGTTGCGAAACTCCGCAGCAAACCCACCTATTTTTTTTGCTGCAGGGAACAAACGACCGCCGCAGCGTACCCTCCCTCTCCCAGTGAACTCTGTGCAAACCAACTACCATGCTTGGCAAACAAATCAGATACCACGAAAGTGTGATGTGGATCGATGTATACCGATCGATTCACTCACCTATGAAGATCATCCAGGGAGGCCAGGTTAGTTAGTGCCAAGAGACCTTCGAAGTTTTGCAGTGCATCACAATCGATTGAAAGAAGGCGCAACAAAGGTCGGACGAGCTCCAAAGACTACAAAAACATGAGAGGAAATGTACGAATTTGCCAAACAATACGAATAGACGCTATGGGAACTCATTAAGGCAAGTGCCTAAACATATATAGAACGATTAACATGGAGGTGTAGCGACCCAGTCACCCACATACTTGACTGTTCAACTCAGCCGCTCACTGGATCGCGAGGCTTGTCTTTTTTCTCATACGCACAAACACGTCGCATTAAGCTGACTCATCGGACATCGATTGTCTGCACCGCCTAGTCAGCGTAGCAACCACAACCCAGTCAAGACACACAGACTCGCGCGCGCGCGCAGGGAGCAGGACGTCAACCTCTCCACAAGTCCACGGACAACCATGGAGTACGTGTAGCAGTCTAACTGCGGAGAAAAACACGTTCCCGCCGTCCGGACTTCCACCAAGGGACTCGCATCCGATAAGTTCCCTTTTTTGACTTGCTCCCATTTCACGTTGTATTTATTTTTATACGTGTCGCAGAAATACTAAAACCTTTTATTAGTGCACATTCACCTTCTGATTTGAATTATGGCTATCATCAGCTGTGCACTAATAGAGGATCTCATTTAAAGGCTTGACCACCAAAACGAATAAAAGGTGAGTTACAAGCCCGATGGATCTGTCATCATGAATTCTAACCGACCGGTCTGATCTTCGCAACACATACTGTGCTGGATAGGGGGAGTAAAAAACCCAGTTTAGGATAACAATTGAAAGCTGGTCGGAAGATGACTGCAGTCGATAAACTTGTAAGTTGTTTGAAGCAAGCGTTCGCAGAACAGCCTACAGAATGGACCTTTCGTACTGCTGAGGAATTACGCGCAAATGTTCTGACAACAGATATACGAAGTGGTACATGTGCAGAAGGAGGTTGTCGAAGCACAACGGATTTACTCACCCGTTGCCCTGGGAACGTCACACGCGGATCCGACGTGATGGCGAGTCGAGCCAGTGCCTGTGCCGCGATATCTTTTCCCCCATCTGTATTAGACTTTAGAGATAAATTGAGTAGGGCCTTCGCAGCGCCAGCTTGAACCAATTTGCCACGATTTTCCACAAGCTCCGACGTGCTGAGATAGAGCCTACGTGTTGCGAAAGAACAAATGAACCAAACAACGCAGCGCCAAACCAATTTGCCACGATTTTCCACAAGCTCCGACGTGCTGAGATAGAGCCTACGTGTTGCGAAAGAACAAATGAACCAAACAAACAGTTGTGGACGATTTCAGCTACAGGAAACGAATGCCAACAAGGTAATCTTTGTAAGACTAACAGCTACAGTGTGGATCGCATTCTGCCTTGTTTTTTAACCTGGAAAACTGGCTCGCTAACCATCCCAGATTCCGCTCATCACTGCTGGCTAACTTTCAAAAGAGAAAGCCATCTACTGCCTACGTCCGATTCGGAGGGGCTAGGGAAAATACGGTCTGTAACCGATGAAGTCACGCGAAACCTACCAGGAGAGAGCAATGCATTAATCCTACCGGAAAACGCTAACGGACTGAATATTTCCCGTGAGAATTGCTTGCCGGTGGTAATTTGTCAACCAGAAATAAAACAGAAAAGCTGCAATCGGTCATGAACACTGTGTGGTACCCTTTCAGTGTCTAGTTGCCATGCCCCTGAAGGAAACAGGAGGATTGGGATACCGGCAGGTTGCCCACACCTAGACACAGGAAGTTGAGATACAGAGGTCGACCTCGAACAACGGATCTTTCGGTCAGTGAATTCGCGCTCTAAACACTGAGCCATATCGCTCGTACAAAGGCAAAGAGTGGCGCAGGCAATTCACTTACCGGGAAATCAATTCACGTAGACCCTCATGACCTCCAATAGGTCCACTTGCCAGCCGAGTGGTAAGGTTGTACAACGCGACCGGAAGACCAGCTTCGACCAGTCGCTGACGACGTTTGCTCACGTGTTCATTGGAATCAAGTGGGTGTTGTTCGGGAATGTGTTGTTTTGCGAATTTGGCCAATTCCACCAACTCGGGTTCGACGTTAGCACGAGGCAGACTGTTTGTCAGATTTGCGAGAACATTGGCCAAAGCATACCCACACTCTTGAAGTCCAAGCTGATGAGGAAATAGGAAAGTTACCAAATCATAAGAAATGGCAGCGCAGTGACATTGTCTATAGAGTCTTCAAAAGTCTAGGACGAATCTTGTCACTGACGTCCGAAGATATACAGGGCTTATGCAGAACAGAAATGAACAGAAATGTAGACTTATTGGAGTGAGGAAAATAATAACTAAAAAGCTCCATGGACATGAAGGACCTTTAGAAAAAATGTGTTAGGAGAAATTCGCGATTCTAAGGATAAAACACTTCCCAAATCTTGGAGCTGTTCTGAACATGAGTTGCAAAGCGGGAGACTACTGAAGGGTTTGTAGTTTAGTTCGTTAAACACTTTTGACGGCCAATAAGTGGTCAATATGCGGCTTGTAGCCTGCTCTGAGAAGTCTCGTGTCAAAAAAGGAGCATGATGTGGTTTGTCAGCCCGCGTCTGGGTTGGGCCACATGTACACAAGTTCACAATATCAAGCCTAAGTGCCAACAGCAGTTGACCATCCGCTTTGTCAAACAAACGCAGCGTTTCCTCTTTTGAAACTTTAGTTGACTAGAAACAGGTAGTTCGGAAGAACACATAGGCTAGGTGGAGGTGTTCCCCCACTGCGACTTCCTGTCGGAATATTCACCATCGAACCGCTGAATCGCTTGTTCCAAGTCAAGAAGGCTTTAGGCAGCAGGGGCGGCTGTATGGCAAGCAGCAGGAAAAGGTACACACTCCATCATGTTTGTGCGGTTTTTCACTGAAAACTGGAATCCATGGTATATGTCCGAACACAAATCTACTAACAGTAATACACCGACGCAGAACTTCCAGGGCAAGACCATCCCACATTGATGTAAGCTGTGATGTCTAATCAAGTAAGTGTTTCGGACAACCCCATGAAGAACCTCTGAACTGGCAAAACCATTCTCTATGAAATGCATTTCCTTGAGCTCCATATATGGATAACGAAACAGCTGTCTTGGTTTTAAAATTTTCAGATATACTTTATTTACCGGGCTTTTCATAAAATACGAATTTCGCCATGCTGTGGGGAACTCAAGACGTGTCTTCAAAGTGCTGATACTTCAACGGTAGATGTACTCGTAAATGAATATGAAGGCGGATATAAAAACCACAGTATCCGTTTTCGAGTGGAGACATGGGTGAAGGATAATTGCGAAGCATGATACGGTTCCAAGATAAGGATTTCGTCTTGTCGGTGAAGCTGATATATGCTAAAAATCCGAGAAGCAGTGTACAGCTGTTCCATCCTTTTTTCGAATCATCAGCAGTGCGCACCTCGAGAACCTCCGCGAGTTTCGAAACCTCGACCCCCCGGTAGTGGTCAAACATTTAACCGTTTGGCTATGAGTAACTGATACGCAGTGTGAATAGCTTTCGATTAGAGTTTAGAGATGTTATTCGTTTTCTTCAACTTTGATCATAGAACCATTGGAAAAAGGTGTCAGATAACTTATGCAGCTTTTGAACCTTGGCTATCCCAAAGAAATGCGAAAATAGCGCCTAAATAAAGACATATTCTGCTCATTGTGAACAAATCTAAATCGAAAATCATTCAGCTATACCACCCTTCCGGTGCACACATGCCGTGCCACCCGAAGGAAGCACGAGGACTGGGATACTGCCAGGTTACCTAAGCCTAGACAGGGGAAGTCAAGAGACAAGGTTTGGGTTCGAACCACGGTCCTTCCGGTCAGTAAGTTTGCACTCTAACCACTAACCATCTCACCCCTTCATTGTGAACAACGGAGCATCCAATCACGTGCTTACAGAACACAAGAACCCGCACCAAGGTGTACCCAACGGTAAACTGTACTTCGGTGCTGAAGTCCTTAGACGGCCAAGATGTTGCCCCGTCTTCAAAGTGTAAATTCAGAAAGTTTACCGGATTTTTCGTGTTTACAATGTTGATATTCTGCAAGCACTGTTATTCAGGAGGGGTGTGCCGGTTACAGGGCATTTGGATGCGATCACCAAGGCTTTTCGGAAGGTTGTGTTTGGATTAAACTCAGCCAGGGGGCGTTCTAATTCGCTGCTTTTCAGTTGCTAGAAGATGTGCAAGAACATTTGGATGGTCATGAATAACCACATCAGTCATCATCATCGAAGCGTGACATCGGCGTTCAACACCGATGCTTCACTGCCGTACAACTATGATTTATTTGAAAGCTTTATAGTGAAGAAAAGAATAAAGGTGGACGGGGAAGGGACATAGTGCTAGCTTACTGCAATCAGCAGGAAATCGGAAGTCGCCAGTGACGAGATCTAACTCGTCAGAACAGATCCGGTCGAAAATTCACGGTTTTGTGGGTAAGGAAAACCTCCTACAAGTTGGGACGACAAATTTCTTTTCTTCCCTTGTGTCTTCTCCCTCAATCAGTCAATGGGATGGTATGAAGATGACTCATACAAAACTTGGAAGTTGGTTTACTTGCATGTGAAACAACCTAGTTATTCGGTGGTTATCATAACAGCTCGAGACGGACGGAAAGGAAAACGAATAGCAAGCACGGCTCGCTCCTAAGAATCCCCAGTAAACCTAAGAGCTTTAGAAGGACCTGGCCACTGACCTTTATACCATGCGGATTTTCAGAATCAGCGCCTGTTTCACAGGAGGTTAAATTCACAATGATGGAGATCATGTATCAGTTATCTGGTTGGTAATATGAACTACACTAGTTCCGCAGGGCACTAACATGGGACACTGCAAGTTGACTAAACTTCCCGTTTTATGCAACGCAAATCAATGATTAGCAAGCACACCGTGACCTCAAATCAACCAGCATCGAAAACACTGACAACGAGGGAGGAAATGTTATTCGAGTTCACTAACTTTCGTTAGGGGCATGCACGTTATTGATTTCCTACGCTTCACCAACTGTACTGCATTCACGCGCCGGTCATAGACCAGTTACCATTCGGCCAACCTGTCATGTGAACCAAGGGAAAGGCCGTTGCCAATTTAGCTTGCAGGTATGACTTTTGATCATTTACTAACAACGACATCACGCTGAGCGTAAACGGTCTATTTCACTAATCCTACACATTTTGACCCACGTTTCGCTTGTCGACTTTGCTTTGGCCCTAGATGTTCACACCAATGGTGAGTATTTGCCAAAGGAATAGAAGCAACTCGAAGTGAAGAACATCGAATTTTTTACGGCTGCCGCTATCCTCAAGTAATGCAGCATTTAACATGTACCTCACTCTACTTACTGATGGATCGAGCTGAAGGGTGGTAAACTTTCCGACTTCACTGATTTGTGAGGTAGTTAAAGGAATCGAAGTGTTTTCATAAACGAAACTACTCACAACGTTGCTGAAAACTCTTCGACAGCCCAAGACCGCTTTCGCCCTTCTTGGGGCTCATCAGGTAGGCGCAGTCCCGGAGTTTCTATCAACCTTATGTTCTACTTGAACCCAAATTGGAGTGCTTTCGAGAAAAACACTCATTTGCAAATCAATTTGGTTTTCACGAGAGACTCAACTGAATCTCTCGCTTATGATAGTCTACAGTTGAATGTGCTGCACCCAGGCCGCCTCATGTTTCAGTTGGCACGATATTCGAGATATCGCAGTATATTTTCATAAAGAAAACTACGCACAAGGTTGCAGAGAACTCTTCGACAGCCCACAACCGATTTTGACCTTCTTGGGTCTCATCAGGTAGGCGCACTCGCTGAGTTTCCGTCAAGCAGAACATTAGGTTGATGGAAACTCGGGGACTGCGCCTACCTGATGAGCCCCAAGAAGGTCAAAATCGGTTGTGGGCTGTCCGAGAGTTTTCAGCAACCTTCTGAGTAGTTTCCTTTATGAAAATATACTGCGATATCTCGAATATCGTGCCAACTGAATCATGAGGCGGCCTGTGTGCAGCACATTCAGTTGTAAACTATCATAAGCGAGAGATTCAATTGAGTCTCCCGTGAAAACCAAGTTGATTTGCAAATGAGTGTAGTTCTCGAGAACTGAAGAGTTCTTCTGCCTGAAGATAAGTCATCACTTGATGAGCTAGCCGACGTGATTTGGATTCCGTAATCCGAGTTGCGCTATATCCTGTCTAAACGCAAATTAATCAAAGTGTTGATCAGCCGCTCGTGGTCAAAGGCTGCCTCTGAGTGCGATGAAAAAAACAACAGATACAAGCCCTATCAAAAAGCTGCAAAGGGAACGAAAATAATTTTTAACCACAACAGTAGGTTCATAGACACGAAGAAAACTCGAGTTGTGCTTTTTCTCATGCTTATCTGTCAAAATTTATATATAGGGTTTATTGTACGCCTCTGCACAAGGGTGGTACCTCAAACAAACTTCAGTCGCTGACTCTAGCACCATTCACTGGTGACACGAAGCTTGCAAGTTTTGCCGGCTTTCGGAATAGGAAGCTCCAAGAAGAAGCCATTACGACCGCGTCCAAGGGACGGTTTCCACTGAAGCATATATAAATA